GAGATAACATTTTTGTACAACTTTTTTATATAAATTAGCATTCCTTTCAAGATCATATAGAGATAACATTTTTGTACAACTTTTTTATATAAATTTCACATATAATTAAATGATTAAATGCACTTAATATTATGGTCTTAAATGAATAAAAAGAACTAATAATTTAAATGATAATTAAAATTGTCATACAAAATTGCATAAAAGTGTTGTCTTTAAATTATTTTCTAATTTTAAAGATTTATATAACCTGTGTAAGGGCATAGATTAAAAGTTTAATAAATATACTTTTTTGTAATTAATTTATATTAAATTTTGTAAAAGCTAACATTTATTTTAATAACATTGACACAAAGATGAATTTAATATATTAAGTAATTAAATTAAAATCAACATTTACGCTCTTCAAGTAAATTAAATGTAAAAAAGTGTATTAATTACATTATTAATATGTACTCTTAAGACAAAAGTTTGAAAAAGTGTAATTTTAATATCATTGGTTAGTAAATGAATTTAATTCATTGATTGATAAGTTAAAAGATCAATTTTTACCTTTTTACCACAAAGTATAAAAGATATGAATTTATACTTTTTTTAATTTTACAATTCATAAAATTTATATCAACTATTTAATTTTTTTATATATAATGTCTAAAATGTATAATAAATACAAGCAACAAGTTAAAAAACCCTTACTTATGAAATAAAAAATTATTTTAGAAGACTAACTATATATTAAAAGTATAATTTATCCTATAAATTTACATAAATAACCCTAATAAAACTATTTTTTATATTATTTTATTAAAAACATTTAAATAAATTTATAAAATATATTTTATTTTTAATGTATAATACGCCGATAAAATCTCTTTATAAAACTCCAAAGCCATTTTCTCAATAAAGATGAGCTTTGAGCCTTGGACTCAAACTGTACATTTATTAAACTTTTTTTCAGCTATGAGATATAGCTAATTTAACTTCAAAGAAGAATCATGTATGAGTATTGTTTTGTAAATTAAGTTTAAAATTTATATTTTGAAACAAGCATTTAAAAAAAGTAATTTTTTTAAATAAATCATGCTCATGTGTTAACATACCTTTTAAATTACTCAAAAAATTAGTCTCCAAATTCAAAAAACTAACTTGCAACGCTCATCGCAGCTTCCCTTTTCCGTTATCAACCATTGCATTAGCGTATAAGAGTGAGTTGGTGAAGAAAATGCAAGCAATATTGGGTAATTGTGCCATGCTTCTTCTGTAACTTGAAGGCTAAAAGAGTTCAACCGTACAGGTTTTGGAATCCCTGCTGGCTTTAGAAGGAACCATATATCGGCTTGACCAACCAATAGCATCTAATAGAATATATAAAGACATCAGTAAATACCTAGAGCTAACACTTACATCAAAGAAATTACATTTTTTTTAATCATTTAATGAGGCATATATATATGCTTTCCATTGCACACATAATATTCTGGAGTTTGAAAGTAAGAGAAGAAGAAACTATCCTGAACAAGGAAATACTTTTCGGGCTGATTTGGACAACTTCTCTCTGCTAAACAAACCCCACAAAAAATACTTTCTTTGAAATCCTGCACATCCAAGTATTGAAACACTTCACTTAGCTTCATATATCATACGTGCCAATCAGATATATTCACGGACACTATTAAACAGGTAATTATAAATGAGCTTACTCCAGTGTTGCAAAGGTAGCTGACGAGAAGTGAAGATCAAAAGATCAGCATTGTCAAATGAAGCTTTCACTGCAAGGTCTTTCAAGATCATATCATCTAACAGCTTATCAAAAGCTTTCTCATCACTGTGACAATGAATGATAAAGAATGTAATGCATCAAAAGAGTGAAAAGACTAAGGTAGATTGCATGAAATACAAAATAATTTATCAGAGGAGGAACCTCTCTTTTTCTGGAAAGAAGTAAAGTCCAATATCACCATCTTGTGGTGTTGTACTGCCAAACTTTAAAGGCCACACAAGTAGTCTGGGAAGAATTTCCAAGGGAAGCGAGTCAGGCAACGAGCTTGTTGCATTGCTAACGTTCAGGCATGCTAGGGTTGATAAATGAGCCACTAGTCCATCCAATGTCCAATTTCTGTTTTGGATAATCATACTTCCCCTATTAAAACAAGACAGTGAGAGCTTACTTTGTTTGAGGTGCAGGTATTAAAATGTCACCCAACCAACCACTTGAAAGAGGAAAGGACAAAATAAATTGAGGTGCAAACCTTAAAATAGAATTTGAAGTTCCTACCTCCAAATAGGATCAAGAATCGGCTGTGCAGGGACATACAAGTTATGCTGAGGTTCCTTGAGTGGCAAACTATTCTCTTCATCCAGTAGAACAGATTTGGTAAGCTCAAATACTCCGCATACTTCTTCAGATTGCAAGGAATGAGTCCCTTTGAATCCTTTTTCAACTTCAATGGGTAACCTTTTAGGTTTAGATTGAATGGCTTGAGTCTTGAAGTGTAGATTTGCATTGTTCACCTCTGGGGTAAGGCGAGAGTTGACAGGACTAGAACTTTCACAAACACTAGAACTACAATCTTGGCAAACCCAAACAATATCTTCATTCAGTACCTTTGGTAATGAATCAAAGCAGTAACTGTAAAAGCCATAGAAACCACAAGTCAACTAACATATAAACCAGCAATTTCAAAAATAACAAATACGTAGTACAAACTTTAGGGGAAATTTGCTTTTAATTAAAATATATTTAAAATGGGAATGCTAGTTATCAGTTTAACTTTCAATGTATGAGTACCATCTAAAGCGCCCTTTGTTCCTTAAGGTACAAGGAAATGAAAACAGCCAACTTACCACCAAGACCAACTATCATCCTGACAATTGAAACAAACGAGTTTAAGTGACTCAACTTACCGATGTTCAGCACTAACCCGGCAAATACTGCAGTAAGTCAGAGCCTCGACATAGCCACAGTCACCACACTTTTGACAAACTGTTGACTGCAGTTATTAAAAAAAAAAGAAAGAAACTCTTAAACACCTATCATGGCATGTTTTGCTAATTGCAGACACCATTCAGTATCATCTAAAACTCTTAAAAAATTTCCTACACTATTGCTAATAAATATAGATCATCAAACACTAGGGTAAAATCACATATCAAAAAACCCAATTGCTCTCTAGAGTACACTAATCATTAAGTGAAAAAGAAAGGGAAAACAGCTCAGGTAGAATCCAAATCTTCCAAATTCTAAAGGCCAAGACTGAGAGAATATATAAAATTTCAACCCCACACATCAATCTAGTAGAGATAATTCCCAAACATCTTTGCCCAACCAAACAACTATGCAGTGCCACCAGTACTAGAACCGAATAACCACGAATACACCAGAAGCGAAAATAAATAACAGAATGGGAAGTGATTGATCAATTGACCACAAATCAGCCCAGGAACTAAAGAATCAAACAATTTGTAGCATTCATTCAGTGGTGTCATGGACCCCTAACTGCTGTTCCATTACATGCAAACATCATTTTAAACTAATTTACCCTTGTCCAAAATTGCTGACGCTTTAAATCCATACAGATACAATGGTTAGGTTCTTCAAAACAAAAAGAAAAAACCCATTAATAACATTTTCTCCTGGAACCCATACAACATAGCCCCTAATAATGCTACAGAAGAATCAAGATACAAATTTTTTTTTTTTTTTCCATTTTTGTGCTATGTGCTTCAATTCTTGAGATTCATATATAATCAAAGTATAACAAAACAAGGATCACAACAAACACAGTTAACTCTGTTTCATAGAAGAAGAATGCAAGAAAAGAGTAAAAAAAAAAAAAAAAAAAAAACCTCCATTCCTATCCTATCACATTTCTTCAATTCTCCATAACAACAGTAAAATAACAAGTCGGGATGGACTATATTTAGCAATAAATGGCT